TGGATTGGCTCCATATGACAGAGTTTATAATACTTGTGAAATACATAGCAAGAACATTGTTATTTAGGTAAAGCATTGATATTGTGAGTATTTCCCTCATAAATTAGAGGGTCCAAGATTATTCCTGTAACTTCATTCATAGTCATAAACAGATATGCCTTCCTGATTTTGAGAAAAAGAGCAGCAATACATAGTTTCTGAAAAATTGCCCAAAACTGGATTGCAGCTAGCATGCAAGAAACACACACAATCCTATAAATGCCTGTGGAACTATGTGGCTCATGAGAACATCACTGGTCATGTGTAGGGGTAGAATAAAGGCTGAGAACCTCTGATGTAATCCAGTAAAGGCCAATTTGTCAAATTAAATTAGTCAATTAGATATTTGCCTTTTAAATGCAACACATATCACTTGATACAGCAACTAGATAAAGCAAATTAGTCACAATGTTTGAAAGTTGTTCTCCAGACAAAGGAAAGTACAACTTTGTCTTTATATACACATGAAGCTCTTTAAATATGTTAGTTGTCACAAAGAAAATGAGTTGGTTGGGCTAGGACTAGGATTAGTTTCCAATTTTGTAAGGATGGGGCACCTGGCTGGCTTAGTCAGTTAAGCATCGGACTCTTAATTTCAGCTCAGATCATGATCTCAGGGTCATGGGATCCAGCCCCATGTTGGCCTTACCCCTCTCTGGTCAGCTTGAGATTCTCTATCTCTCTCCCTCTGCCCTTCCCCCCACTCAGGCACACTCGCTTTCTTTCTCTCTAAAAATAAGTAAATAAATCTTTAAGGTAGGGATAAAATTGGGCAGAACTGGAGGCAGGGTGGTAACAGCAATGGAAAGATGTTCTTTTTACTATGTAATCATGTAATGCACATCATCCTTCAATAGTTTAGGTTACGCAAAAGCAGTAGTACATTATAGCCATTAATAATGAAAATGGAAGACAAAGTATTTTCAATTTGGATTTGGAATGTATTATATACTTTTTAAAAAGATTTTTATTTTATTTATTTTATTTTTTAAGTCGGCTCCATGCCCAGCATGGAGCCCAACGTGGGGCTTGAACTCACAACCCTGAGATCAAGACCTGGGCTAAGATCAAGAGTTGGACGCTTTACTGACTGAGCCACCCCAGCACCCTTGAAGATTTTATTATTAAGTAATCTCTACACCCAATGTGGGGCTTGAACTCACAATCCCAAGATCAAGAGTTGCATGTCCTACCAATTAAGCCACCCAGGCGCCCCTACTATATACTTGTAAATGGATATAGTGATTCATGTTTTGGGAGTCACTTCCAAAAACCTAATAAAACTTGCATGAGGTTACTTGATACTCTCCAGACCCTTTAATTTTTTTTCATGCTGTGAGTAGAACTTTCCCTGTAACTAATGCATGTTTTAAGTCTTCACTGATGTTGAAAAGGTCATTGTTACAAGGGCTGTATCAAGACAGATCAAGATATTACAATATTGAGAAAACAGGGGCACCTGGGTGGCTCAGCTGGTTGAACATCCAACTCTTGATTTCAGCTGGGGTCCTGATCTCAGGGTCGTGGGATTGAACCCCATGTTGGGCTCCATGCTGGGTGTGGGGTCTGCTTAGGTTTCTCTCTCTCCCTCTGCTCCCCCCCTTCTCTTTCTCTAGCTCTCTAAAGTAAATAAATAAATCTTTAAACAAATAAAGTAAAATAAAATAAAAAAATATTGAGAAAACAACTTTACCATATTAGAAACCATTAAAGAAGTTCTTGAGATTCAGGCTCATGGGAAACCTTGAAATGTGGTTTTTTAATTCCACTTATTTAGTACCCAAACAACATAAGTTATCAAGTTGAACTGTGATCAGACTATATTTATAATTGACTTTAGGACAATTGGAAAGAATTTAAAACCCAAAGAAAGTACCTTAAGACCTAATTTATTTATTTTTATTTTTTAAAATTTATTTTATTATGTTATGTTAATCACCATACATTACATCATTAGTTTTTGATGTAGTGTTTCATGATTCATTGTTTGCGTATAACGCCCAGTGCT